CAAGAAGGACGATACCACCGACGTGCTCATTGACCTATTGGAAACTGAAAAGAAGAGACTTGGATATTTACCGACTCAAATCTGTTCAGATGGTGGAGGAGAATTCACGGGGAACAGGTTAGTCAAGTACTTGGAGGAGAATCACATTCGGAGGCTAATTTCAGAACCGTATCATCCGGAACACAATGGTAGAGCTGAAAGAGCAAATCGGACAATCGTCGAATCGATGCGAGCTACCTTCAAGAGCTCAAAAATAGCGAAGAATTACTGGCACGAAGTTTTGAAATCTTGCTGCTTGGCTCTCAATCAGATTCCACGCAATGGATTCACCCAGTCGCCATGGGAAATTGTCCTCGGTCGTCCCTTCCCAGAATTCCTTCTCAAACCGCTTGGAACGCACTCCGTCATCCTCAACTTGCGCAGAATAAAAGGCAAAAAGTTCGAGGAGAAAGGACAGGAGGGAATCCTTGTGGGTTTCAACGTTCCTTTTCAATCTTATCGCATTTTAGTCCAATCTGGAACCATCATTGAATCCAAACATGTACGGTTCTTCAAATCAAATCAGATCGAATCCAGACTTGACGACTCCGATGACTTCTGCCAAGACTTTCAAGACGTTTCAAAACCATCTCTCAAAGTATCCACTGTGAACAAGGACCAATTCACCGATAATGACTCCGAGTCTATCGATCAGGAAGGGATGGAAGATAACATACAAGAACAAATCGATGAAACATCCAATGAATCGTCAGACTCAGAAGATCAAATTTTAGACTTGCTCAAACCTCAAGAACCGCCTCAACAATCAGAAACTGTCGGCAGAACTCTCAGAGACAGATCAAGCCTCAAACCTCCAGAAAGATTTGGATTTCATCACTACTACGAACCAAATACTTTCGAGTCGGCTATCAGATGCGCAGACGAGAAATTCTGGAGATCAGCAATTGAAAAAGAAGTCTCCACTATTGAGAATCACGAAGTCTGGGACAACCATTACACGGAACCTCCCAATCCACTCGACACGACTTGGGTATTCAAGATCAAGGACAACTGCCACGGCAATCCCTTAAAACACAAAGCTAGATTATGTGTCCAAGGTTTCGAACAAATAGAAGGTGAAGACTACGAAGGTACTTTTGCTCCAACTGGAAAAGTGTCCACGCTCCGGATGATTCTTCTGTATTCACTTCATCAAAATCTATCAGTTACTCAATTCGATGTTCAGGGAGCTTTTCTACATGCTCCACTCTCCGAGGAAGTTTACATCAAGACGCCAAAGGGAGTGAATCGAAACGCACCGTATCTGAAACTGAAGAAAGCACTCTATGGCCTCAAACAAGCACCAAAGAATTGGTACGAAACCCTCACGGCATGGCTCGAATCCATTGGATTCCAAGAATCAAATTGCGATCCATGCATGTACCTATGCGATGATAAAATATCCAGAATCTTCTTCCATGTTGATGACTTGATACTAGTAGGCTCCGGCAATGGATTCAAGGAAAAATTCGAACAACGATTCTCCAATTCCTCCTGCCACGATCCTAATACCATCCTTGGAATGAAATTCGAAAGACTAGACAACAAGATTCTTCTCTCTCAACCAAAACACATCGAACACGGCTTGGAAGAACTCGGCCTCTCAAACTGCAAACCTTCAACAACCCCGCTGACTCCTAATCTCAAACTTAAAGAAGCTTCAGACGAAGATCATGCTCTCTTCAAGAAAGAAAATGTCAATTATCGTTCAGCAATCGGACTCATGAACTACATAGCTGGTTATACCAGACCAGACATCAGCTTTGCCGTCTCCAGCCTGGCAAGATTCTCAACCAAACCCGGAATGACCCACTGGCGTGAAGTCAAGAAGGTCTGGCAATACATTCGACATACTAGAGATCTCAAACTCTCTCTTGAAATCAGGAAACCCGATCAACTTCTTGAAATATACAGCGATGCCTCCTGGGGAGATGATCCAATAAATCGAACCTCCCAGTCTGGATATCTATGCTATCTCTTTGGGGCACTAATCTCCTGGAATAGTTGTAGACAACACAATGTTACGTATTCCTCTACAGAAGCTGAACTCAATCCTCTGGTCGACTCATTTCACGAGGGAACCTGGCTGAAGGCTCTCCTATCAGACATCTGGAACATCCAACTTGAAGCTGCTACGCACTATATCGATGATAAAGAACTCAACGAAAGGCTGATGATGAACGATGATGATTTCA